TTCATTGAGACGTTTGCCTCTGAAGTCAAACACTATTGTAATGAAACGGTCGGCTGTCATWACAACAAGCATCATGACTGAAACTTCGCTGGAGAGAGTCGAMAYGGCTCCAGCTATTTGACAGGAAATCCCCGATCTCCACTCAACGTCATGATCTACGTAAACTCCTTTCCACAAGGCATCTTGTATTGCTATGAAAAGAAGGTAGATTCCCATCAGGAAGTCAGCCATAGCCAGATGTCTAAGAAGTAGGGGTTGTACATTGGGCTTATTTCTTGCACGACCCGTTGTTTTTGAARACTTCTTTCGATCTAGTACTGTCCACCAAATAATGACAGCTAGGTTTCCAAATGACGCAAAAATGCCTTGTATCCATATACCAACACGAATTACTGGACTTTTCAGCATGTCTTCACAGCTGGAAAAACTATTTGATGTGGTCGACTCACAAGTAAGTTCTGGAAGTGTCTTTTTGGCATAACAACAAAGGATGAAACTGTCTAACTTCCTGTTGATAAACAAACAAGATTGTTAACGTTTTTTTTTTCTATATTGTGGACAATTAAAAACAATGGCTAATAAGTCTTTAATTGTGATCGTTATAGCTATGTAATTCTGTTATTGCATCATCATTTCTAAGTACTCGTCGTACGGGGTTAGGGTTCCTTTCGATGAGTTTACATGAAGTCCATGTCAACTCGAGAAATCAACTGCAAAAAGATTAAATGAGATGCAGAAGTATGTTTGAATAGACCCTTTGCATGTGATGTCAGAGAAGATTCCTCTGTAGGACAATACAAAAGGATTTTGCCATCTTGGGAACTATAACCCATTGTTTTGTACTCCACTGCAAGGGTCTATATTATAGATTTTCAAGTCTTGTGCTACATGTCTTGCTTATAACTGAGAACTGATCAACTATCAACTAAATATAATAATGTATAATTTTTTATTACGATGTAAGCGCTACTTCAACCTAAAAGTTATTTATTTTCGTTGAGCTTTCGGCTCACCGAGCCATTATCAAGACTGAATGAAAAACGTTACATTTTACAAAACAACATAAAAACAATGAGCGCGCGCTCCGAGAAGATCTAATAAGCGCGCGCGGTAACTAACTTCTAATTACACAGAGATAATTTTGCGGGATCATCCGCCCCTTGTGCCTATTAAACAAAACGTTCTTCTTCTTTGCAATCTCTATTGCCTCACTCCATCTCCTCTGCGACCAATTTGTCGCAATGTTTTATGAGTGTGATTCAACACTAGCAAAGATATCAGATCTCATCATTATAGACGTTCACCATGTTTTGAATCTCAAAGCAAATGGAACAATCTCGTATTCAACTTTCATTTACTGGAAAGGAAATAACTTAAAGTTTTAGTGTTAAGAAGAAGGTTATTTCCTTCGAAAGAACCTTGGAAATAATTCAGAAAAATTAACTTCTAACCTCACTGGGATTCGAACCCACGACCTCGGGTTTGTTTTCAACCGATGGGCTCTACCAGCTGAGAGACAAGGTCATCCATCGATTGTACAAATTCGAGTGTCGTGGGTTCGAATCCTCAGCGAGTATCATATCCCATAGTGCCATGCGACCCTCACACATATTCATATCTTTAATTCATGAGTCAGAAGTAAAACTGTTCCACAGATTTTACTTTGCACTTACAGGTATTTCAGTTTTTTCAATTCTGAAAAGGCGTCGACAGATATTTCTGACTCTTTGATACTGTTGTTGTTAAGTTTCCTGAAAAAAAGGAAAACATAAAAAAAAACACAAAAAGATAAAATAAAGAGCAAACTTATAAATGCACCCATTTCCTGAATATTTCCATTTAACTAGTACGCAGTTTTTATAATAGAAATGAGCTGCTAATGGTCCTACAACGAGGTCATCGATTTGTCCTCGAGATTTTGTCGAGGTCCGAGGAAATCATGCCGTGGGTTAGAAGTATCCAACATCCAATAGACAATTTTTTGCATAATATCTGTCGTAAAGACCAATATGAAGGTGGGAAGTAAATATTTGCAATTCACTGCTTTTTATATCGACATCATTAAAGTTACTAACTCCATCTTGATAAATCTTAATTTTTTTTCAAAAACAAATAAGTAGTCAATTGTATAGAGCCATTGCAGCAGTCAAAAACCTTTTACTAATGCTTACATATCCACTGAAGAATTTTCTTACTTATTTTCCCTAAAACTTCATTTACTAGACCCTGTCAGCACGGTTGCCACTTGCCCTGTGTGTGCTGGCCATGGTGTCCATGCACGTTATTAATAGTGACATAGTAACAATTTAGGGTAACTCGGGTAACTCGCACTCCATGTTTGTAGTGGACTCTATATTCATTTTTATTTGTCTTTTCAAAATAATTCAACCTCGTACGCTCTACGTGATATGTTTCCATATGTCATATGTAAATTTTTTCGTGTAATACAACTTCGAACCCAAAATCTTCACAATGTCTGCAAATTGAAAAGATATTTCTTTTATGAAGCTTTTATCAGTTAAACTTTACAAATTCGAGTGTTTATTGACGATACAAATTCAATAATGATTATTTTTTGCTAAATTTAAACAAATTCTCAACCAAAAAAATAAAAAACCGGAAGAAAATGAATGGATGGGGCAAGCTCTTCTCAGAAGGAAGTGATCAGTATTCATTCACAAGTTTGCCATGTTGATCCAACATTGTTCACAATCCAGATAAACGTGAAACCGTGATAACAGAGACAAATCAGTGGCTAGAAGGAAGACAACTAAGCAAATGATTTGTTGTGGCCTGGGTTGTGYTATAATAAATGAGTTATTTTGGAAGCATATTGCAATTTAGCTATAAAATAAACGTTGTCCTTCAAGTACAATTTCCTATTTTGTCTTCGGATATTTTCGGCCAATTTTTTGTCCGCAGAAATGGTTCCTCGGTCCTCGACATGGTTTACTCGACATTCGATTGAGCCTCAACGTATTACAAGTGCTACTTGATTACAATGTAAAGCTGGTCCCAAATGCTTACAATTTCTCTAACTGCGATAATCCTCTGAAAGATTTCTTGGTGAACGATTCAAGCTTGTTGTTATGCAGATACCTCAAATGAAAAAAACAACAACAACAAAACATATAGATAAATAAATGGAATAATTAAGCAAGTGAAAGTAGTAGTGCCCGATGATTAATATATTGTAATACAGAAGTAGACAAATAATTTCGTTATATGGTTGGTGTAGGCATATATATAGATGACAAATGATTCACAATAAGATTGTTTTCTAACTTTGATTGTTTTTGTTTGCTTGTTTGTTTGTTTGTATGTCAAAATGGCGTCGACGATATGTGTGTTGATTGATACAGTACGGATGTGATATATGAACTTACAACACTCTTAGCTGACTTAGGTTACTGAAAAGGCCGTCAGGAATCTCTTTAATGGCATTACCATGTAAATAGCTATGGAAGGATGATAAAACCAATGTTCACTATAACTATTTGTAGAATATTAAGCAATATATTAAAAGAGCGTATAAGATTTTCACTTAATTATCTGAATATAGTTAAAAGACTTACAGAAAATTCATTTCCGTATTTTTCTGAAAAACATCAACGTGGAGTTCCTTTATCAAGTTTCCTCGAAGGCTTCTAAAGATTGAAAGAGAAAGAGGTAGTATAGTTTACGTCAAGAGCGACCTGGTCAGGTCAAGTGATTTACAAGGTCAATCATCTGACCAAATAGATAGGCATTAAACACTTCATGAATTAGTAATGAATTTTATAGACATCTATATTATGACCAAGTTTTTGTTTAGGTGTTTATTAGGGTTTTTAATGTATAAACGTCAATGAAATACCACGACATCTCTGGCGCGAAAAAGTGATATCTTTGACATATCAAAATAATATGTTAACTACCTTGGATGCTCCGTACAATATTGTCCTATTTGTTAGATAAGTTTATAATAATAAACAAAGATTAAATGGACGTTTGGAGATACGGATTTTATATATCTTTGTGTTCGAATTCAATGCTCAGTACTTAATCGAAAACTGATCTGAAAAATTGTATTTGTCTGTTGCAATTCAGATTCATTGGTTTTACCATGAAAAGAATTAATAAATAGACATTATTCAAAATTGAAAATTAAAGAAAATCACACAATAAAACTTACAATGTCTTTATATTTTGGAAACTCCAAAATGCCTCCCTTTCAACGCTAGATATCAAATTGTCACCAATATCCCTGAAAATAAAGCATTTGCAGAATTTATTAGCAATGGTGAAAGTATTTGGTCTGCAGATTCAAATAATCAAAAGACTGTTGCCAGATATGGCAGTGTTCGATCAGATGTATTTTGAGCAGCAAAGCTGCTTACGTTGGCGTAGAAACATCTATTTTGGCTTAGAAAAAGGAATAAGTTACTTTCACGCTATTATCCTATATACAACTGGATTATTTTGTTTTTACGAAATTTAGAGGTCCGAACCGCATCTCTCAGAACAATTTTTGGTGCCCCTAAAATTCAGCCAAGACACCGTGCTTCTACACAACTAAGGGTCTAAGATGAGAAAAATCAGAAGTTTCATTTGAATACTGGATTTCTCATATATTCTATACAAAGTTGTACTCAACGCTGTCAGAAATAGTGATCTATTACCTTTATGTACCCGTATTTGTGGCCAGACGCGGTCCTCTGTTAGAAAGGTCTTGAAAAGTGCCCCGAAATAATGACTGAAAAGGGTAATCTATCACGTACCAGACATTTAATCTATGTTTCTTCGCTCATATGCAGAAAAAATGAACAAATCTCATGTTTCCCAGCCACATAAAATAGACCTAAAATACACTGATCAACCTCAACTCTGTCGTGATTCTCGTGATTTTTCATAGGGCATTTCAAGGCCGCATTGCATTGTTGCTTTTTAGACTTCTACGATAGCTGTGTTCCAAAATGCCAATTTTAAATTTTTAAATTAAAATTAATTTCCATTGACTGTACGGAAGATCTGGTATTTTCAATCGGAATCATTCAGCAAAAACGTCTTTTGAACGTCGACTGATCAGAACAGGTGGCTCAATGCAACTCAGTGTAGCAATACACTATACCGTAACACTATTAGAAATGTAAACCTTATTTGCGTGTACGTACAAGTTTTGCAATGTAGTAACGGAGCTCCATACTTCATTTCCAATTTTCTTGATGAAATTCATGTTGAGTCGCCTTAAAATGATCAAATGTTAGAGTTAACGCGGTTATTGTGGTTTTCAATAGTCTGTTCTTCAAAGTGTAATAGTCAAACTGCAATATAGCGTAATACACCAAAAATAAAAATAAAAAAAAAATTGAGAAATAGAGAGTAATGAAATGTAGCACGCTAAGTGTATTTCACGGCTTAATGAAAGCCACTCTAATATCGATTTACTTCAGGATTCTATATGAAATTTTAACTTCGTCCCCGGGGCCGTCTCATTCGACTCCTTTTAATTCATGTTTTCAGGGTCGTCGGGGAGGTGTCCTGGGTGGAGTCTAACTTCAGCCATCACCAGGGTCATCTCGGCCCCTACGACCCTTTATCTTGAATAAGAGCCATTCGAGGTGTCCCTGGAGACAAAGTTAGTATAACGTAATAATCACTTCAAAATAGGTACTAAATTATAGACTAATTCATTTGCATCCTATTGTCGAATCAACACTATTTAGTGATCGTCTTATCCGGTCTCCCCACTTTATACTCACAAAGTATGAAGTGATGGCAGTATAGAGAACGCTTCTTCATTGACCTGAATTATCTTGTTGTAACTCAGATCTCTATAAATGAAAATGATTGATGATTATTGGATTAGATGGTCAGTCATTATACTTTACTGAATATCATAGCAAGCAAAAAACAACAACAACAACATCAAAAATGCACCATACATGAAAGCCAGTAGCTGATAACTCTGGAAGGACTTGCTCTTTATCAGGAAAATTTTATTCTCAGAAAACAAGCTGAAATATGTAATTGTTCAATAGTTATCCAATCTCGACAATCGTAACAGAGATGATAATAATGTTAACAGTGATGATAGTAATATTATATCATTATTTTAACAAATAAATTTCATACACAACAGTTGTTTTGCGGGGAAGTCGACGAGGAACTGCATTAAGAGATTTTGACGAGACGACGATTCTGCCATCTGATAGCTTTCGGCATAAACATTCAGCTGGGCAGTCTAAAAACATGCAAGCAATAGTGAGAAATATTACAAAGCTTGGCTTCAAGTAGGGTTCTCATATACAATCGATGGAAAATTCTTTTTGGACAAAGATATTGAAGTCAAATGACAAATTTTCAGAATGACAGGCTTTTCTCTTTGGTAACCACGTATTCCACCACCGCCAAATGAGACCAAATGACGCGACTGTTTCTCTCGCTGCTGAAGATTGTGGCTTATTTCTTAAGTCATAATCAAATTATTTAATTTAATGGGTCGAAAAGGAGACTATAGTTATGAAAAAAAATTGCGCGCTTTAAAGGTTGAAAATTTGATGTAAATATGATGTAAGTGTCCAAAATTCTCTAAATTTAATGGAAATCATTTACATCAAATTTAGAACCTTTAAAGCGCGCGATTTTTTCCAGTGAATTATGATGTAGAACCAATGCAATTCGTCAATAATTTTAGGTTTACCTTGTAAACAGTCTTTGTTTGTGTTATTATCTGAAGGAAAAGCAACAACAGCAATAAAGAAAAAATAATCAGCTACAATAATGGCGGACATAATGTCTTCTGATCTGTTTTAAATACGTAGGATATTCTCTTTTCTCTACAATTGAAAACCATTGCCCACTTCCTCACCGAAACTAAAAAATGTTTGTACTAAATGCATGTCCTCCGAAGGCAAAGGAAAACACTGACGGAATCGGAGGAAGAAGGAGCAGGAGAACATTGAGAGTTTTGTTTCAATCATAGCAAGCGTTAAATTGGTAGTATGGAAGATTGTTTCGAGCCACAGCTCATTCGACATAGGACAGGTCGACGCAGCATGTAAAGCGGTGGCGGCCTAGTTGCTGAGTCTATATACTCTGACACCAGCGTTGATTCAAGGTTTTTAGAAGCTGAGAGAGTACACGAGAGAAGGTTACATATTGTTCATCAGAGTGTATAGGGTTTGCTTTCCTTCCAATCACTACCAAACACACAAAATCTGACTATAAATTCGATTCCAGTCTTTGAATATTTTATGGGTTAATTAAATGTAGTTTAATACATCACACAAAAATATTCATTGGCAAAATTTTATAATGATAGATTTGCATAAGTTTCTTGATCACAAAAACTATAGTTGCAGATAATAATGATTATAATTAAATTTGAAATAACCTCAACAGGGTGTCCATTAACTATCTTTTTAATTACCTTTCAGGATTTGGTATCGCGCCAAAAACCCTGTACGAATGGTCTTCGCGTCTGATCGAAACAGCACTGAAAGGTGGTTTGTAGTTGACTGAATGAAGGCTGGATAACTGAAAATAAAATGGGCAGAAATCACATTTTAGGTATAGCCCGAAACAAATTTGGGTAAATGGAACACTTTCTAAATATCTGTATAGCTTTCTAAAGTAATACTTTCTCAATGCCTTCTCATCCGAATGACTCGCATTGCTGTTCTCTCAGGGATTATTAATTAATGGAAAAATTAAAATCGGAGGACAAACATGCAGCAAGTATTTATATATCGACTCCTCACCTTATACCGCAATATCGACCAATCCGTTTACCGCCATCATACACATCAACCGAGTCGTCCTCGCATCGTGTGCTCATTTCCAGTTCAAATTCAAAAATATCTAGACGAATCACGTAGCCTTGGTTTGCTATGATAGTCGAGTTGCACTTTGCGTTATTCCTGTAATAACTAGGATAGCAGGGAGACATGATAACGCCAGATTTGTTTTTAAAGACTTCATTACATGCTGTGAAAACAAGAATCAATCGCTTAGTGATTTCAGCAATATTGAAGACATTTGGGAGTATGAATACCTACCTTCATTTGCTCTTGTGGGTAAAGTATCACAGTATTCTTCAGTAGTATACAATGCCCCTATTGATATCAGTCCTGGTTCATTGGACACATGTCCCTCTATGGCAATCTATACGCATTCATTGAAAGATATTAGAAAGTCTGAATGACAAATACAATGCATAGGTAATTGTTTGTAATCGAAATGAGAATACTCCAATTTCGAGGTCTGGTTTGCTCTGTGTTAGCCTCAAAACCCAGCAACTTATTCTTTGTTGTATCGATAATCTAAGAAAATGCATAGAATTTGAAAAGAAAGACAATAGAATTGAAACCTCACACTTTTATTCTCACAATTAGGAATATTTTGCGCATAAATGAGGCGAACACAGAGAATTGGAGAATTCGAAAATGGATTGTTAAGCACGTGGATAGATGGCAACAAAGATGTTAAGGAGGTGTGGGGGTAGCAATGCACACTGCGATATAAATAAGCTATTTAATTGAGAGTGGGACGTAATGCACGGTATCGAAGTTGCTTAATGTATCCATAGTTAATACAACGAACGAGGAAAGAACCGGAGAATGATTTTATGATGCAATGAACGAGTGAATACGATCCTGTACAAGCACATGATCCATGACCAATGTCCAAAAGGAAATTTCTATTTTGACGGAAAAGAATTTTAAAAATAATGACCATAAATGATTGTCAAGAAAATAAAATTTTCGCATCGAAACCGAGAATCGCATTTCAGCCAATCAGAGCGCTATATTTGCCATAGACCAGACCTAAGGTCTCTAAATGTTCACATCACTCTTCAAAATAATATTTTTTTTTCTGTTTTACCATGCTTGCGTAGTTAATGAGGTTTTTCACAGTAACCCAAGAGCTGTTATGTTGAATTGTAAGTTTGAAACGTCAATTTTTTTTTTCATTTTAAAAACTGCAAGGACCTGTATCGTTATTATGGCGGCCGCGATGTCACAAGTTAAGTTAGCATACCTGATATTCAGTTATAGCTGAAAGAGTGACCTGACCTTCCTTCCAACTACTTAAATTGTTATTTGTATCAGTCCATATTGGTCTCCATGGGAACATTTTGTCATCTAGGATTTGATACAGTTTAAGTACTCTAGCCCCAGGGCCCAACAGCCGATATTGAAATCTTAAACATCTTGCAGGTGACTTGACCAATGCAGGTGATAAAGGGTATCGTGGGCTCAGTATTGTTGCTTTTGCTTGGGGCGGTGTATTTACGTTAGACACAACGCTAAGTACATTCCCTGAAACATTTATGATAGCCTTGTTAATATAAACCTATATTAAAAAAAATGAAATGGGGCGGAGCGGCGATTGTGCGACCGAAAGTCACTGTGGGTATTTGAGTTTCTGAGTCACTTATGCGCTGAAAAACAAGTGGACAAAACAGACACTCTATTAGATCTTCATTTAATGAAAGCAACGGTATTGACTGCCTTTCAGTCCTGTATTCTTCAATCACCTTTCTAAAATAGCTATATACTATCATTTACTGGTAGCAATGTTTAAAGTGATTTTGCGCTGCGTGAAGCAAAGCCTGCCCAATATAAATGTACTTAAAGCTAGATAGGTGAAGTGGATAAACAGCAATGAATACGTGAACACGAGTTCTTACATTTTGAATGAGTACATTGCAAAATAAAGTCAACCATAATCGAGTGTAATTGTTTGATAGTTGAAGCTAATCTGAAGAATGTAATTACGCTGTAATCACTGTTTTTCATGAAATGTGTTGATTACTAGAAAACATTTCTTCAATTAAAGCTATTACGAGATACACTAATGAAAAAAACATCAAAATTAACCGTGTATAGCACATTTATGTGTGAAACCTTCTACAAAAATTGTTTTATTAATCACTCTTCACTACAGGTAGAGTGTTGACTGTGATTTCGCCAAGTTATAAAAAACACACAAGCATACATTAAAAACACAAGCATACCGTCATCGAGTTGCTTTATTTACTCACTGACAATGTCAACTGAGGGTTGATTCTCAAACATTTTCAGTTGTAGCAAATTGGGTAATAACGGGCTGACCAACCGGATAGAGCGGGTTGGACGCCCAGTATATACTAGACATTTTTTTTGACTTCTTAATCCGTTGATTGCTTCTTTTTTTCTATTTTTGTTGTGCTAAGTTCCCTGTTATAACGATGGTCCACTCTAAAGGCCCACATCATTTTAATTTTCAACTTATTATTACTAAATTTTTTTCTGTTTAAAGATGTTGATATCGTTTATGGGGTTCTCAACAGTAACGCAAGTTAAAGCTGTCGAACTGTAGGTTTGGACCGTGACATTTTCAATGAAAATGGCCGGAAACGAAAGATAGATACCAAAAGTAGACCGAAAAAGATAAAAAAACCCACTAACAATAAAAAAGAAAGACTAACAATAAAAAACGAAAAAAATACCTTTTTTTCCAACGCAAGATGTTCTGTTATAGTAAATTACAGGAGTATTTGAGCTGATAAAAAGTGATGCATTTCTAACATAATCTTCCCAGAAAACCATGTTTCCTCTGTAGTTCATGCAATTGTAAGACATGGACAGAATACTGTGCTCGTCGAAAACCTTGTCCCACACGTTAAGACCAGTTAATTTCAGGTTAATGGTTTCAGATGAAGTGAACGAAACATGAAACGCTGCAGCTAAAATATTAACAAAAATAAACAAAAAGCACCGTAAGTAAACAATAACCAAACCTAACAAGTGTGAATAGTATCGAGTTTCAATTGAGTGTCAAATCGCATCCTCATCCCTGTAGAACTGAAGCACCAAGTCATAAGCCTATAGGCCGAAAGCGTTGATCAAAGCCACGCAGTCAAAGTGTTGATCCAGAATTTATTGAAATGGTACCCTTCCGGGGAAACTTATAATATCAATCAGAAAAAATACCGCTTTAAAGATATCTAAAAGTCCTGTTTGCTTTAATAACCTGTTAAGCTCCTATGATCAGCATATACCGTCTTGTTTGCAACTCCATCCACGTAAACTACGTACACAGCATGCTGAAACGTTAGACACATATGTCTCCAAACAGACCTGTGAAGCATTAGAACTTATAGTGAATAAAATTGATCAAAACTATATTGTTTACTTGATGGTTTGTATGTTCACTTTTATGATTATTCCATACCCTGTTCAGTACACAAGGATGATATTAATGCACTAGTTATAATAGGTTTTAATAGGTTTTTTAAAAAATAAAAAAATAAAAAAATAAATAGGTTAAAAAAATAAGTTTAAGAAAATAGGTTTAAAAACAATTTTTTTTTCAGTTTTTTTTCAATTAAAATAGGCCATAGTTATAATAGGTTTTAATATTTTAATAAAATATCGTGTATTATGTGTGTCCTTTGATTTTTACCACGTTTGTCGTCATCGAATCACTAAAATATTATTATCTACGATTGAGTCCAAGTCGATTTTGATGATGAGATGGTGACATGCAAATCCCGGTAAATAAAAGAACACACTAAAAACGTCATGATTTGTTTTATACCACAAACAAGTAATGTGCGAGTGCTATGAAAATGTAGAATTGAGAATAATTTCGATTCAAAATTAGTGTCAATAGTGTCACTTTCTGATCGGTTGAATAAATCTACAAAACAACAAAAAAGCAAAGCAGAGCAGAGCAGAGCAGAGCAGAGCAGAAAACAAAATAAAAGACAAATAAAACTAAAAGGAAAAGAAATAGAGAGACGGAAAAAATATAGAAAAGAAAGAAAACTTTCCAAGGAAACTCACACCTGTGGTATGCGTTAACGCTTCTGGCTACGACAATGTCCTTTTATGAATAGTGAGTGGGCAGTTTTAACTGAGAAGGGGTCAACGGGTTCCTGGGAGTAATATATCTGTTCTTACCAGATTTATAAAACAACTTTCATATTACGCGCGCTCTGTTTGGCCAAAAAGCCGTCTTTGATGAGAGCATAATACACGCTCCCGTCATGTTTTTTCTCGGCTTTTTTTTTCTCATGAATATTTGAGCGCTTGTTATTTTATAAAAGCAATAAAAAACAGTTTTCCGTGTATTATACTCTGATAAAAACACTTGGCATGTAGAGAGAACACTCGAGAAGCTGGGAACCACTCCGCTTCGAGTCGTGGTTTCCTACGTTCTCTCGTGTTATCCCGACATCCCGCGTGTTTTTATCAGAGTATAATACACGGAAAACTGTTTTTTATTCCTTAATTCAGTGATAAGAGATTGCAAGCGCGACAAAAATAAATGTTATCACAAATAACATTTATCCCCAGGAAACTAAACATTTCCCACGTCTCAGGTCAAAAAATAATTAAATTGACAAAAACAAAGAAACAAACAATAAAACAAAACAAAACAAAAAACACAAAAAAATGCTTGCAAGAATTTTAGTTCAGTATCCCATTCGCAGGAAAAAAATCGTCTAAGAACAGCTAGCTAGAAGAACTCAAGGATATTTTCTTTTTTATGTACACTACACTAAGAAATCCTTACCGGTAAACGAGGATATCCAACACCTTTGTCTTGACAGCAGTATTTAACAATTTCGGAGTAGAATCATTCGTAGATATCCAGTAGCACAGTGTAAATGACTGAATATTTGGTTTAGTTGGGATTGTTAAATGTGCAGTATTATTCAAAAGGAATCCTATACCATGTTGCAAGCCAAAATGGTAGCGCTCTAGATAAAAAAAGTGTAAGCAGCTAATTTAATTTTGAGATTTGCTAATATTGTATCTATTTAATTTTCATTTCTTTTAATGTACTTAGCCTTATTTTTACCTGCAGAATTCGACGATGAACAAGCAGAGAAAGGATTTAAAGCAGGGATAAACATTATGGGTTTGCCGACATCATTTGTATATTTGCAGGCATCCCCCAGCGCCTCTCGATTGCGTTTCGAAGCTAGATCACACATGCTATTTGTGTGTTTTAACGGGATGCTGCTTTAGGAAGTGGGAGAGGTGTAACGAACGTTCGTTGAACTGAGCTCAGACAAGTACAAATATCAGGAGTGAGCCTTGCTTGTAAAGTAGGGGTTATTGCGGTTACCCTATCTCTATGGAAACTGTGTCTCACTATTAAAACAAAACAAAAAAAAAACAACAACAAAAGCCTACCTCGTTTGGATCTTGGGACAGGGGAAAATTCTTTGTCATCTAAAATGCTCCAATTCAACTCAGACGACAAGTTTTTCCAATCTTGCCATTCTGCACGAATGGTCAGTTGTAACGCATCTGTTTTCATAAATGAATCAACTGATGAATCAACGAATCTATTCGTTTATATCCCTTCGTTATGTCTGTCAGACTTTAGTATACTAGTATACAACTTAACTTCCAATATTGTCAGTCTAGTATGGATTGGAGATTTTCAAAAACTCGCAGTATAGCTCCAAAAATAGCATAATCGTGCTGACAGAAAAATAATTAGTGCTTCTTATGCCGACGTCAGAACACGCGGCGTCTTCTGGGAACTGAACTGAAAGTTGCTTCGTGTTTTTAAACTTACATTGTTGATCTAATCCAAAACAGGCTTTGCCTCAAATCATTACGCTCCACGCAATTCCTTTTTAGAAAAACCTCCAACATCCTAATTCATGTTCTTGGGGAGCATCTAAATAATAATTTCGCTTATACCGCCGCAAAACTGTGGAACTCGCTACCACAGCATTTTGAAGGGAAGGAGTTGCTCAGTACGTTAAAACGTTCATATTGATACTGAAACACTTACTGTATTCTGTAGTAACAGTGAAAGGAAAAGTCCAAGTGTGAGGAAAGCGATAAACAAAATATCTACCGCAATTTCTTGTAACGACTTCTCTTCTTCTTCTTTCGTAACAGCAATAACTTTTCTGTTTGTAAGACATGTGAAAGCATAAATCTCTGTAAACTTGTCCATCTGCTACTGTGGGCAATATCCCTTCGATCCAGGCAAAATAAGTGAACCGTGTAAAGTAACGATCGAGGACCTTATGGCATGCCGTAGAAACTTGATTACCCGCAAGCCCTGATATGCGATACCATGAGGTTTTTGACAGAGTTCTGTCATTTGGCAATGTAGTTACAAGATGTTGGCCCTTTCTACGATCAAGTGCATCCAAATTGGTATAGTCAAGGCACTCTCTGCTTGATTTGTCACCTTTATTGGAAAACAGATTTGATATTCTTAATCATGAGTAAAGGTTTTTTGCTAAGAAAGAGTGAGATTGCAAATATCATGATATTTTTGTCACAACTTCTATAATTCACATTTACTCACCGGTCGGAATATTTTGACATTGGTATTTCGAAAATGTTAAGTCATCTATCTTAGCAAACCATTTTCTTTCCCATTTCATTACCACCTTAAATAAGAATTATTAATTAATCGAAATTAAGAATGTATTCAGCAGTTGCTATTTGGGGACTAAGTAGACTATGAATATTAATTTTCGACAATCTCTCACAAAAATGTACAAGAAAATTCAATGCAACTTTAAGGATAACCATTTTTTCTAATTAACAGCACATTAGTTAATGCTTTCATATGCATTTTCATGAGATTTGACGTTATCTGTGATATTTTCAAGATCGTCAAAAGGAAATCCAAATATCGACGACCTTGCGTCACGTGATATGATCAAAATGCATTTCCAACCAAAGTAGAAACACAAAAAGTATAAAAACGATAAAAAATAAATAAAATAAAAATGAATTTTTATTGAAAGGCCAAATTTATAGAATAAATGCGGTGAACATTGCAGAGGCCGCAATTTCAACAACTGGACTCAAATGTTATAACTACTGGCCACAAATATGACATGTGGTCTTACTCCATTACCAATATTCTGACCACTACGAAAACTAGCTGTAAGGTTATAATTTTTGTATAAAAAAAGTGTGTGATATATATGATTTTGCTGTGTCAGTATGTAAATTCTTTGAATCCAAATGAACTTCTTCCAGACCAGGCACTTTTCCAATTCAGATCGAAGATTCTAATATAAAAATTAGGTAACACCTAATAGCGAAGCTCCAATAGCAATATATATAGAAGCTGAAAAGTACTGCTATTTCAAAGGTAGATGCTCTGTTCTAAGGAATGTGAGCTATAACAGTTTTGTTGACATGCGAACAAATATTATAAAGAGTACGTTTATGAGAATTTAGTTCGTACTAATATTGACTTCGGTAGATTTTGTTCCGTTGGATGAAGTTTGATATTATAATCTATAAAGGTCAATTGATTAAAAGTAAACTGAAAGCTTCTCGGCAAAAAGTAGTCTACATAAGCTTACAATAATCAACATTGTTTCAATAATCGATGTTTGAACCCGGACTACTCGAACTTCACATATCACATAAAACTGTATACAAAAATATATTTTTTACCTTCATTATCGAACTTCCGATAAATTATCGTTCAAAGGTCGTCTTCAACAGACAGCCATACTTGTTTCAAGCATAGGTTTCATCACTTTATTAAGTTTTTAATCTCTCTCAATCTAACTGCTAGCATGGTCTTGGTTTCGAAATGTCCACACTTTTAGTCGACAAAAGAACTTCGCATAGATCCCTGCTTTTTCCCATATTGGTCCATATTATTGAAGTATTTCCAATAAAGTATCATCTCTTTCTTGTTGTCGAAATATCAAAGTAAAATCCTTTTTTCTAATATCACTTTTAAGATGGGCCTAAATTGCTTTTCATCTTCGCAAATCGATTTCCCAGATGTGCGGACGCGTCGAAGTTATGACAAAATTGGCGGGAATATTTTTTTCCTTGTGATTAATTGTTCTAATATTATCAATATGTAATATAAATGTTTAAGGAAAAAAATCGATTTTTCAACAAATACTTGGCGCTTTGTTTACTTTTCGAGCGGAGTATGGGTTTCCTGTGGTGGTACACGGAATCCAGGAAGGACGGACGGAAGGACGGACGGAAGGAAACGTGCGTACGCGCGGGAACCCTGTGTCGGTCCATGGAAAAATCGAATCGATGGTATACCATTTTTTCTTAGCTATGGTGCTCCGCTCGCGCGGGCGGCCAGCGCGGGAGCTCCGCTAATAATTATAATCTTAATGGCAGTGATTTATATTGATATTTATATAGTTATACCATATTTATATAGTTTTATCATACTATTCCTACCTGTAAGCTGTTTTCGTCTCCTGGTATTGGTAATTGAAAGTAAAACCATCCCTGTGTAACTGATGTATAATGAAAAACGGCTTTAGAATAATGAGGAGTTTTATAAAAGATTTTCAGCTTTGTTTCTTTTCCGTTATTCATCCAGAATCGTAAGCATATCCGTCCATCTGATTTCGGGTTTAAAATCGGACTTGTTATTTTGCTAGACACATCGTTTGAATACCAAAAATTCAAATAAAAGTTGTTCTCGTCTATAAGATAGAATAAAACGCATGTCAATTAATAGTCATTGAGATAATAGTTATTAGTACCAATTATGCTAAATATTAGACTTTTTCTGATATCTATGGTATTGCGTCTTATTTTAATTTTTGGGTGTACTTTTCAAAGTGAGTATAATTTTACAAATTTTCATTGAGGATCTATAAGCGGACCTATTACTATGGATTGCCCATAATTGATTCCAACTGAAGCCTAATTGAATATTTGGATTATGCTGTAGAATCTCGGGGATTTATGTGAATTATCTTCGCTAGGGAATATCAGTATTTTAGAAATCATGTCCGAAGTAACTGATTGGTACCTTGTTGACACCCATGACTTAGGGAATTTCGTTGACAGGAATGGCCACCATCAAAATAGCACGAGGGATTGGCTAAGCGTTAAAAGAATGAGAAAACTGAATCGAAAAAAAATCTGCAGTAGCATGCCGCTTACATTGTATAATAACTTGTGAACATTGACTTTCAACGAAGTTTAGATCATCAATTCCCAAGAAATCTTTCTTGGCGTTACCAACGATCTGTAGCTATAATTGAAAACAAATAAACACATTGATTAGTGTAGGTAATAAAATGGTTTCGAGTTCAATTTGGAATTAATTTGCACGAGTTTGTTTTTCAAAGAGGCCATAATTGCGTGAGGCCGTAATTTGGCTCTTTGAAAAACAAACGAGTGCAAATTAATCCAAATTGAACGAGAAACCATCTTATTA